GGTATAAAACCTGAAACAAAGTGATAGGATTATTATTTATTAAAATCGACAATATTAAACAAAAAGGAATATCATGATTTTCATAAGAAATGGAAGAAGATAGCTTAATTTAATGCAAATTAGCACCTGACTTTCTACATTGATTTCTGCAATTGGTCGCAGTGCCTCAACCACAGGATTCAATATCCTCTCACCAATCTTTTCAAAATCCCTGCATGTAGAATGCCTAAGTGCGAAAATTCCAACAGCAGCAGCAGCAAAGGAAAATAGGTCTCATTTTTGCAGGAAGCTAAACATAGCCTACAGGACAGCTAACTGATGTAAATAAGAAATATACCATACCACCATTGTCTAGATAAATGAATGTTTTGCACAAGTATTTTCTTGATGCAGTCTAATATGTAATATGTTGTACGTTACTTGTACTTAAACAACTAACATAGAACATAAAAATTTGAATCTTTATAGCAATTTGATACGGAAGGGAATATTAGCACAACAATAAAGGAACAACAGAACTAAAGAAGTATAGCAGAGTTGCAAATTTTGTTCTTACCAATCATACACCCAATCACTTGGATCAGCATTCAACAAGCTAAAGGATAGAACAACATTTCCATCTGAACCAACTGGCATGAACTCGCCTTTCCCAATGCCTGCCTCACCCTCCTCAATACCCCCATTCATAAAATACTTGGCAAATACCTTGCCAATAACTGAGACAGCCTTAACCTCATCAGCCTTTCCAACCACCCAAGCATGTCGGTGCTTCCCAACGACAACCCTCATACCCTCTGCGTCATCAACCTCCACAACCACAACCGTGTAAACCCTAGACCCATCCCCTCCGCCGCTGCCTACAGCTGAGTGCAGCAATTCATCGAACACCTCATCGCCAATCACCAGGTCTGCACTGGTCACAGTGCCACACTGCCAACCTGAGTTAACGTTGCTGCTGCTGCTGGAGCATCCACCAGCCGACTCAACGGTGACTGATACCGAGACATTACCGGCAGTAGAAGTGGCTGGGAGAAGCTGGAGCTGGGCCGAAATCGATTGCTCAAGGCGATGGGTGAGGGAGGCATCATAGCGATTGGGAACCAAGCGGAGGAAGACCGCGTGGAGGCCGCATGGGAAGGAGGGTGGAGTGGAGTGGAGGCGGTGGGCGAGTGCCGTAATTGCGTCCGAAGGCAGCGGCGAACGATGGATCTTGGTAGATTTCAGCAGGAAGGGCAGTCCTAAAGAGAGAGATACAGAGAAGTAAGCGAGTTATACAGAGATGTGCACAAAAACACTAGCCATAGAATAGGGGAGGTCGTGGGTAGTACCGACGAGAAAGGAGAGGAGGACGGAGGCGGTGAGAATGAGGCGCTTCACGCCAGGCTTCGTCGTGCGCAACGGCGGCTTGTTGCTGCCCGAAGAGGCAGGAGTAGAAGTAGACGGGTGTCTGGAGACTTCGCCAGAGATAGGAGGAGGAGGAGGCGTTGGGGCCTCGTCGCCGGCGATCTCCGCCATCGCTAGAGTGACCGGACGTCCGGCCGGCGTTGTTTGGTTCCGAGGAAGGAGTGGGACGGTCCTACGAAGGGAGAGCAGCGTTGTCGCCTTGTGGGCCGGGACCGTTTCTGGGCTGTCACACAGATGCTGGCCAGGTTCAATACGGGCCGCAGATGTCATAGGCCGAGCCCGGAGGTCAGATGGACTCGGAAAGGCCTAAAGGAGATCAGGAATCCCACCCAGCGTAGTAATCATTGTCGCCTGCCTTAATTTATACTAAAAGAAAATTGCAATTCCAAGTTTTCTAAATTTGATCAAGTTCATAGGAAAAAATATCAGTATTTGTGTCTCTATTTAGATTTACTATATTTTTTTTTCTATAATTAATCTAATGATTCTTATTCAGTATCATTAATGTTAGTACTTCTTTGAAAATACAAATTTGATCAAACTTAAAATTGTTTGTCTCTTTGAGGAGTGAGAATTGTATTTTTTATAGAGTAAATATTATTTTATTAATGGAAAAAGAGTTTTGTCTTTAGATTCTTTTCTACAAGCAAGCACTAGGCCACCATTATTATGAGTTGCCAATAATGCTACTACTGCTAGCAAGTTGTACATAAGACTGAAAAAACGGGCCTAAGAAGAATGGCGAACACTCGGTAATTCAATAGATAAGTTTTTTTTCCTCATAGATGTTATTTGGGTTATAGTAAACTTTTTTTGTCTATAACTTAGACACCATTGCTGACAAGGGACTTATACATTGAATTTACTGAGCATTCACATTCACCGTTCTTGTCAGGACAATTCAATATTATCGCTGCCCTCATTTAACCATAGATTCGCAATTCTCACAACTAGATTAGGCCATTCTACAAGTTTGCCACTCACTACTAAAACCCCTCCGAAGAGAGTTATTCAATGGAAAATAACTAAAAAGCAAAAACATTGGAGAATGTTGTTGTTTAATGCTAACACTATTATCAAAGAGAGACTAATGGGACTGAAATTTCAACTGTACCATCTTCAATTGATATTTCCTCAGGCTAAGGAATTGATCTGTGACACCTTTAGCCCATCAAAAAATGAGAATCTCCTCCTTTTCTGCGCGTGCACTTGGTGTGCAAATGCAGCCAGAGGTGGGTAGATATGGTGGTGGTTGCACGTTCGGCAGGCTCTCATGCAGCATGTAGATGTAGCGAGCAGCAGACGCTGCAGCACCAACATGTTCTATCTGCATCTGTGGTCACACACACTATATGCCTTATTGCCGCGAGCACACCCGAACCAAGGCCCCGTTCGCTGGTCTGAACTTTGGCTGAAACTGGCTGAAAAACACTGTTCCGGCTGAATTGTTGTGAGAGAAAAACACTGTTCCAGCTAAAAAAACAAGCCCAACAAGCCAAATTTAAGACAAGCGAACGGGGCCCAAATCGATGATCCAGCGGCGGCGCCGCGGTGGACACCGGATAGGCGGATACGCCGTGCGCCGGCGCAATCCCATTGGCGCCGTGGGAACCCTACGCACATGCGGGCATGCGGCTGCCGACCTGCGGCGCGCGCGTAGTGGCATGCATGTACCCGCCCGTTCGGATAAGCCGCGCGGCGTGGCGACTGAACAGTCTGTGGCGAGACGGCGACTCCCCGGGCGCGCGAGAATTCCATTTCCACCTGCTACCGGGGACCGGGGTAACATGGCAAGTTGATCAGGGGCGTACGTGCGTCACCGTCTGCGCTGATTCTGCTGGGTGCCGGCACATGCGCCGCGGATCGGCACGAGCCGGGCCCGGCGGTGCGCGGAGAGTGAGCGGGGCGCTACCGGCATTCATCAATCCGGCCCTCCCTTTCCGGCACGAGTTCAGGGGACTGGGTCTCGGACACCGGGTGGATCGATAATCACGCGTTAGATTTCGCGTCCCTGTCTCTGGGCTCTGGCCCGGGACCTGCCCCCTGGCCCCTGGGCCTGCTTCAAGCCTCAGGGCGCGTAGCCTGGTCGCGCCTGTTTGGCTGTTTGTATTGGGTTATCAGTTGATCGGATACGATCCACGGCCGTTGACTTACCGCGGAGTCATAGTCACGCCGGTTGCGTGCGACTGTAAAACGGCACCGGAAAAAGGAGCCTGGGAGTTGGGGCACGGTAGAAACAGCAGCCTTTGCCTCGCGGCTGACGAGTGAAAACTACGACTGAACTTTTTGTGCTCAACGTCGTGAGAGATTCAGAGCGCAGACCTCTGGCTCGACCATTTTATTAAAGTTCAGGTATGCGGTTGACAACTTGCTATAAGAAAAGCAAATCTTTTGCTCAAACTTTGCAGTTCAGTGCAAGCTGGCGGTCGCTACATGTTTGGTAACCGTAAACCTCGATGCTTTTCTTGGCATAGGTCAATTGCGACTTGAAGGGCAGATGTACAGTGCAAGGGAAACTGGGCTAGGGGTTATCAGCCTAATTACATAGTAATTACGGCCTTATTCCCCTGAACCAAACACAGCATAATGCCTCCAAAGCCTCATAAACCAAACGCAGCCTGACAGCAACGGGAGCAGGAGTATCAACACTTGAAAGCGACGACTTTTTCTCCGTGCTATCAGCTGTGAGCTGTCCTATCACATAATTTGCTTTTACAATGCTGATCCTCAAAGTGCAGACTTTTCTCCATGCAAAAAGAAAACCCGTTTGGCACAGATCATGTCCTTTTCTCCCCCGATAATAGTACCAACCATTTCTTTGATTCTGCGAGGATTTTGTAAGTAGTGGTTAATGGTGGGTAGGGGCAGCTTGTTTAAGGCCTCGTTCGGTTACAATAATTCCTGGCCAGATCCATTCCTGCCCTCTCCGTTTCTTCAGCATTTTCTATAGCACGGGAACTGTTTCTGCCCAGCAAAGACCGGGAACGGTATAAACCAACGGGCCCTAAAGCAGGTTTCTGTCCAGCCTTTGCAGTTCAGCACAAGCTGGCAGTTTTCTAATACATGTTTGGTAGCCGTAAACCTGCTGCCGCTTGGTTTGTCAATTGCAACATGAAACAGCATATGTACGCAAGTATCATCGGAACTGAAAACCGAGCAACAGCAGATTGCTCTAGCATTTTTGGATTCAGTACAAGTACATGCCAAGCTGATGGACAAAATGGGGCTATGTAGTAATAGATTCTGGGCAACAGACAAGAATTTGCAGAGCATGTATGGAATTCTGAACTGTATTGCTGGTCTCAAGAATATAATATATACAGAGTAAGAAAGAAAGAATTACTGGCTCACACTGGCACTGGGATTACATTACCCGTTCACAGTAATTTACACCGTGTATTTATCATCATATATTATATCCTATTGTTTGCAAATGTCTTGATTCGATTTACCGAATTCAAGCCCTGAAACTCAGCAGGCTCTGAAGTCTGAACACTGCAGTTAGACTGAACTGAAACCTTCGCTCTGTCGCTCACGCAGGCAAGCTGGAAAAGAAGTCGAAAAAAACTGGCAAGAAATTCCGGGGATTTCTCTGTCTACACTTGGATGAAGGAGTGGCAGGGCACCCCCATGAGCTGCGCCAAGGTGGTTGACCTGAGCTTCCTCTCCTTGACGGCGGGGTCCTCCATGAGCAGCACCTTGTTCTTGTCCTGGACGCCCACCATGTGCAGGTGCTCGCAGTCGTCCCTCTCCTTGCCCCTGTACAGCAGCCTCTGCTCCCTGGGCCACAGCCCTGTCACCAGCGACAGCATCACCTTCAGGTCGCCTGCATTGGATTGGAACAAACGCAGCTCGATCAGCAAACAGCGCCATGCTTCCCGTTTACTAGTTTGATCGCACGGGGCAGGGAGTAAGAGCAATGGAGAACTGGCTGACAGCACGGCAATGCGGTGCGGTGCCGCGGAGTAGAAGACGACATACCGAAGGTCGCGGTGGCGTCGATGGAGACGTCGTGCCACTGCCAGCCGGTGGAGACTCTCACCAGGATGTACTCCACGGCCGCCGCGTCCTCCTCAGGCGACCGCCGCTTCTGCACCAGCATCCCGCCGGGCCGCACCTCCCACTCGATCTTCTCGTGCTCGGCGACCATGGCGCAGATGTCCGCGCTGCCGACGCTGGTGGTGGTGCTCCTGGACCGGCTCCTGAACAGCCTCCTGGGGCTCGGAATCTTCACCATCTCCGCTGCTCTCGGTCTCTACTGGGTTAGTAGCTGCTCTGCTCTCTGCTCCTGTCTCTGTCTCAGTCGATCACTGGCTGTCTCGGTGCCGGGACTGGCAGCAGGGCCTGGGATTTTAAAGAGGGGAGAAGCGGGCGATGAGGACAAAATGGGAGGAGGTTAAGTCGCGACAGGGGCGAGAACGTCCACCGTGCGGAAATGATTGGCGATTAACCTGTGTTTGTTTAACAAACGCCCCACAAGACCAAGACCCTCCTCCTTAATTAAAAAACGGATTAGGCGAGGTGGCTCTGATGGAGACGACACCTGTTGCTGAGGCGGCGAGAGCGCTGAAAAGGGCCCAAAGGCTGGTGGTTTTGTGAGACTTTTGCGAGGAGCGGGCACACGGCGGGAGCGCGGCGGTTGGAAGCGGCAGCACATGGGGAGGTGGCAAACACGGTTTTGCCTGCATGAATGGCAGGGCCGGCGGAATCAATCGCTCGCCCCACGGCAGTTGGCTGCTTACGGCTCACTGTTCGGTTGAACACTGCTGTAGCCATTCATCTAGCAGTAGCAGTAGTATCTTTTTCTAGCAGCCTGTTCATTCCAAATTGCCATGTTAATTTACTGTTTGGTAGGCCTGAAATAATTGCATCCTGTCTGTTTTTATTTAGTTTAATATATATAAAATGGGATAAAATGCCCACCCAGTTCTCAGACCCTAGAGACAGGAAAAATGAGTGGTTATGCAATTTGCAATTGAAATCATATAGGGACATGGTAGAAGAAGAGTTCGGATAGTAAGTAAGAAGAAAGCATACTCCATTCGTTCCAAAATAAGTGACGTTTTTGACTTTTTATATCGTGTTTGACTATTCGTCTTATTCAACTTTTTTTTGTGCAAATTATAAAATAAATAAATCACTATTAAAGTATCTCTAATGATAAAATAAATCATAACAAAATAGATAATATTTATATAAAATTTTTGAATAACACGAGCGGTCAAACCATATGTCTAAAAGTAAAAAACGTTACTTATTTTAAGACGGAAGGAGTAGATCCTAAGACACGGATCGAACAAAGAAAGCACTAGGAAGACACCAAATGCTCATTTCTTACTCCCTCTATTCTGAATTAAGACGTTTTGGCTTTTCTAAATCTAATAATAGATTTAGCTATATACTTAACGAAGGGAGTACAAAATTTCTATCGAAAATGTCTCGTTCCACGGGAAAATTTCATTGTACAATCCAATCCTCTATCTCAAATGACCTCGTAGAAAAATTTCTTACAGAAATAGAATTATACAAAAATCATTCCCGTTCCATCCGTTCCAAACGGGGGCTTATCATATGATCAGTTTCCACGGCGGAGCGGAGTCATTGATCTCGACGACCAAAATACGCCTAGGATCATGCGCTCGTACGTACCTAGAACACCGGCATGTGGCCATGCTGTAACGAAGGGGAGGGACCGTTCACGTCCGCGTGTCAGGTGCCCCTGGCCCTAGTCGCGCTCGTGTGTTGTAGAACGAAATGGAATGCATCTGGCTAATAGTACGACGACTAGATACAATTTGGATTTGGGCCACCTTCACAGTCGCCGGCGTCCGGCGAGGCGGCGACGACCATGATTGCAGCGTCGGTCGGACAGCACATGCGCTGGACCTCCTGTGCCGTATTTTTAAGCGAGCCGCTCGGCGTTCCTGGCACAGGCGAACAGTAGTAGCGTAATGCTGAGTCATTAGCAGATTCCGGCCGCTGAGGAGCCGCCACGTTGGTCGACGGCGACGAACCGGAGCTGGGGTTTTTTAAGCCCCGGCTACCGATGGATCGGATCAGATCAGATTCTCACGGTTCGGTCGGGTGCAGAGTGCAGACAAAGCAGGGAGGCAGCAGCTGCTGGTGCAGCGAGATCGACTGGCCGGGCCGTGCCCGTGCGTGCGCGCTCGCTCGGTGTTTCGATGGTTCGGTGCCGACGGGGCTTCACGGAAGGCGACGCTTGCTTTTGGACTCTTCGGGTAGGTTGGGGTAGTTCGAGGCGTCACAGTTGGCGACGAGTACTTTGCAGCGTACGTCCCTCCATCGACCTGGCTCTCGTCTGCGCGTAAGGTCTCGCTGTCCAAGGGCTCACGTTAACGCTAAGGACAACCTGAAAAGTGCGTATTCCACTCGGCTTGCTGTTCGTTTCCTGGCCTCTATGGAGCTAGGCTAATGTAAGCTGTATATGCCTCAGCCGGTGAAGGAACCTCACAAGGAAGAACAGAGTCTTGGAATAAGAATGATCAAATGTTCTCCCGAGTTGATGAATGAATACTGAATGAATAGATTAAGGTGCTAACAGTGCGTTGCATATTCGATACCGTCAACATACACGCGGGTGCTACTACCATGTCTTCACAAGGACAAAAAGGGACTATACACGCATGCACCAGCTGGGGATGCATATACGTTACACCTAATACTACTGCTAGTGAGCAATCAGAGAGAATCAAAGCACAAGTTTTTTTTTTTTTTGAGAACAGAATCAAAGCACAACTGGGCGTACTGCTCAGTCACAAGTTGCATTGCATGCCACTGACAAACTGCTCAGGCCCAAGTTACAACACGGTTACGCTTCGCATCGCTGCCAAGTTGGCCCAATCTCGTGAAACAGTTATCCATCATTCGGGCCTCAGATGTCAAGCTAAAGCCTGCATACTAGTACATCACCCATGGGCCTAACCCAATCCGGCCCAACTGAAACGAGCACAGTAACCGCCGCTGGAGTGTGTGGTCGGGGCCCGGTGTGATCCGGGGCCTTACTCGCGGTCGCAGAGCTCTTGTGCTCCTTGCTCCCCCGTCCATGCTTTCGCAGTAGTCAAGGGCTAGTCCAGTACCCTGAAGTCCTGAACCCGCATCCGGAGCTCACAGAGTCCACCCGCCACCGGAGCTCGTCGGAGACGATGCCGGAGACACACCCGCCGCCGCCGAGGCCGGTGATGCTCGCTGACCTCAACTTTGAACCGGCGGAGAGCGATGGCGAGGACCGCCCACCGACCCCCACACCCAACGCCGCTGCCGCCGCCGTGGCCGTCGCCGCGGCTCCGGCGGTCGCCACCGACTCCTCCACGAGGTAAGTTTACCAAGAATACTCCTCGATCTGAACGTGAGGGGTTTTCCGCCACTTGTGCACTTGGCCAGTTGAGTGCGGCACTGCGGTTGTTAGGAATTTAGGGCGTTAGTACCCGTGGACTCATGCTTGTGGGAGCCGAACCCTAGGACTGGATGGAGTTATTCCTTTTTTTTCATAGGGGGGAAGTTCATGTAGCAACTCAATTTTTGTGAGAATTATTACTAATTCAACAAATATGTTATCCACATGGTTCTGAAATTCCACGCATATGTTCCATTCCATATATTAATTGTTGTTCCTTGCTTATAGTAGTCTTATATATTATAACCACCATTTATTTGAACAAGAGGTAACATGTAGTGCTCTATTTTGATAAAAAGGGTGACTGGAACAGTATCCAAATCCTTAAATTTACAAACTAACTGTTGGGTCATAGGTTATCTAATATCTTATAATCCGGAGATGACATATAGGCCACAAGTTGTCCGATGAGTCCTTATACAATGAAATTGCTGGGTGGTTTGATAAAAAAAATGTACTTGCAGGAGTGGCCATGAGGAGGGTGGTTTGACAAAAAATGTGATCGCTACAAAGGACACCGATACTGTTGAATGTGAAGGTAGCATGATAGTCAACATGCAATGCAGTGGTAGGGAAATTTTCTGTTGTGAATTGATTACTTACAATTCTTCATGAACAGATGCTGATCAACATTGTCAAGGGGCTTCTGCTCCACGTGAGGAAAAAGTTAGCAACCTGAAAGCTGTGAGTTCTTGGCTTGGATGCCATTTGAAAATTGAAATAAACAATCTTGCATGCTATAGGTATAGATAAGTGGCACTGTATTATAAAATATTTAATGCCGTATGAACCCTGATGTTGTTTTACCTTGTCTTAATTTATGGTACTGGTATGGTTAACAGAAATGGTTGAGGGCCTAACCTTCCTTCTTGCAGGCTTTGGTTCATGTGGCCCGAAAAATGCCTAAGAATGCTCATGCACATTTTATGTTGGGTTTGATGTATCAAAGGCTTGGTCAGGCACAGAAGGTAAATCTTCTCTTGAAAAATTGAAGTTGCTTAGCGTTTGCGTAAAGCTCAAGTAGCTGCAGAAACCTTTCAGGCAATAGCATCATATGAAAAGTCAACTGAAATACTGCTACAAGATGAGGAAGAAGTGCGGAGGCCTGATTTACTCTCATCAGTGAGGATACACCACGCACAGGTTCATCAGCTTGATCAACAAAAAGTTACCTTGTTTCTAGTTTTATTATCTTTCATGTGGTCATCAGCTCCTCTTTTTGGTTGCCTATTAATTTATTAAATAAAGTGGTTCTACCCCCTCTTGACTCAATTTGCTCCTCATGCAGTGCATTTTGCAAGCAAGTATGGGGGATAGTTTTGATGAAGAGCTTGAAACTGGCGAGGTAGATGACATTCTTGCCAAGTTGAAGAGTTCAGTTGAGTCAGATCACAGGCAAGCAGCTGTTTGGAATATCCTAGGTTTAGTTCTTCTTCGGGGTGGTCAAATACAGGTATGATATGCTGAAACTGTTACATTTCTCTCTATTGATCATGAAACCGTGTCTGCAAAGAACTACTTGCTGATTTTTTGCACCCTATCCAGAGTGCTATCTCAGTTCTATCTTCTCTCACGGCTGTTGCTCCAGACTACTTGGACTCCCTTGCGAATCTTGGTGTCGCATACATTCAAAGGTTCGAAATACTATTTTCAGTTGTCATTGTCTTCCTTCAGACTTTAATATTTATCAACTTTCAGTGGGGATCTAGAGCTGTCTGCAAAGTGCTTTCAAGAACTTCTTCTAAAAGACCAAAACCACCCGGCTGCTCTGGTGAACTATGCAGTTCTTCTTCTCTGTAGATATGGATCTTTGTCTGCAGGTACATGAACACTTGTTTGCCATAATCTTCTAGTACTTGCCATTTTCCTGTCATATCATAAATATCCCTATGCTGTTTTGCTCTAGCCAAAACGGTGACACTAGACAATTAGATAAGTCCAGAAAGCGTTTTCCCTAAAAATATCAATTGATTTGTTGGACACATTATATCAATTGATTTGTTTGTTCTTTATATCCACTAAAAATAAGTCCAGAAAGCGTTTTCCCTCCAAAAATGTGACCAACCTAGGAGAAACTAGGCGTTTTTTTCATTAAGAGGAAAATAGGCACCCAAATTCAAGCTGAGGGAAGACTTGAACCTGGGTGGTTGGGTGCATGAGCACACCCCCCACCTAACCAGTAGAGCTAGGCTCACTTCCTCCAAAAATTAAATTTAAAAATCACAGGTGTTTTATGAGTAGTAATTGCTTTTGGCTCCTGCCTCATGCTTTGTTACAAATTCAGGGGCAGGGGGCAATGTCAGCACAGGCCCTTACCTGCATCAGAAAGAAGCCTTAGTTGTTGCAAAAGAGTGCTTACTTGCAGCAGTGAAGGCTGATCCTAGAGCTGCATCAGTTTGGGTTAATCTTGCAAATGCATATTACATGGATGGTGAGCATAGGAACTCAAAGAGGTGCTTGGAGCAGGTAACAACTTTTGTTATTTCAGTTTCCCTTTTATTGACATGTATTACTCAAATTAGCTGTCACAAACATTGGTAATGTTGATTTGCTTTGTCGTCTGCTGGAGAAATATATCTGATGAGAACACAATAAGTTGTTTTATGCTGACTTGTAATGGATAGATGTAGATTCGCTATTTGCTATGTGCTGCTTTTTAATTCGCAGGGAGAAGCTCCCTTTAATTCATAGTTGTACTTGTAGCATCTTGTACCCTAAGGCTGGCCTTTCGAGATTTGGTATTAACCAAAAAAAAATGTTCAAAAGCTGACCAGTGACCCGTTTGTGGTCAGCGCAGCGCTCCACTGGGGACTGGTGCTTAAAAAAAAACTTGACCTGCAGGGGGTAAGACCTCCCCCGGGCATTGCTGTGATAGAGAAGACCTTCTCACACAGGCCGAGAAAACCCCCCGAACCCCTGCCCCACCCTGACACGGGCACCATTGCCCTGTGAGAATTGGGCCGGGCCTTTTTGACCTGTGCTTTGGCCGTGGGACAGACAAGGGGATTTTTTTTACCCTCAGCCTGAAATTTGCTCCCACTGGGAGTCGAACCCAGGACCTGAGGGGTGCTACTCGAGCGCTCTAACCGTCTCAGCTTAGATCAAAGCTTTTTAGACACAAGGAACTAACTTTCCAGAACTGTTTGGATGGTTTAAAACAAATATTCCAATGACATAGTCACGAGAGTTCTGTTAGTACCTAACCTGGTAGACCTCTCTTTCGCAAGTCCACAAATTGGGTCTTTTGGAAATTAATCACATTTATGTTTAACAGCTAGCTACCTCACAAACTCTGTACATCAAAAGTTATTGTTTAGTATAGTGATATAATTTACTCAAAACCTTTTTGGCAACTTGGCCATAGGAACTGTGGCCTATCAGGGGAGCTGGTTCTTATTTGCTATCAAAAGAAGATTTGATGGTCTAGGTTTCTTGCAGTAAAAACTATTTTCTACATTTGGTACTTGTCCTGCTTGACAGTTTATTTTAAACCAGTCAACTATATGGTTCTAAATTAAAGCCAAAATTATGGCCAGTCAGCTTGAAAATTGCTTGTCTAGCACTCAGTTTTATTCCAGACTCACCAGTCACTACTGTCCATTACTAAATATATATAGTACCGTTCATTACTTTCCTTCTGCTCTGGTATATATGCCAGAAAACTCTGTACTCGCTGTAAGATGGAAAAGTAAGTATGTGACAAACTTTTCTTATATTCTTTTGTACGGTATGCTTTGCAGGCAGCAAAATTGGAACCCAATCATATGCCTGCTCGGTATGCTATTGCAGCTCATCGTATCAGAGATGCTGTAAGGTCACAATGTTCTAATGATCAACTTCTTTGGGCTGCAAATGAAATGGCAACAGTTCTAAAAGAAGGAGATCCTTCTGCAGTTGATGCCCCAATTGCATGGGCTGGGTTGGCAATGGCTCATAGGGCACAACATGAAATTGCAGCCGCCTACAATACCGAAAACATCAATCTTAATGATGCAGAAGAGCGAGCTCAATATACACTAAAACAGGTGATGCTTTGCAAACTATTAGCAGAACTGAATTCATTCTCTTCAATCTGATTGGCAAGTGCGAAACATGGACATGGGAAAGTAACGAAATAAACATTATTATTTTTGAAATTCTATTACAGGCAATCCAAGAGGATCCAGATGATGCTGTTCAATGGCATCAACTTGGCCTGTACAATATTTGCATGACCCGGTTCAGCAGGTCTGTAAATTTTCTTAAAGCAGCTTTAGCTCGTTCCCCAGATTGCAGTTATGCTTGGTCGAATCTTGGTAAGTTTTGGGCTCACTTGAGTCCTTTTTTGTTGATTCAAAATTTAGTAGAACTGAACAACATTAAACTTATCTGAGGCTTTTCTTGCACGAAGATTATTTATTATTAATCGCAAGTTCTAAACTATTCTATAAATATGTTTTGTTTTTGCTAGGAGACTGATGTTTTATGTTTAGCCAATGGGGAATGTTAAAAATGATTTGTTTAATATATCTATCTTGTTCAAGCCCCAACAATTTCCTAATTTACCAATTCATCTAATTAGTCGTAGAAGTTCCCCATGCCTTTCATCTCAATAAAGGAACTTCTATCCTTTATTTAATGGAATAGTCTGCTTTTGTGCAATTTATCAAATGAAGTAATGAGTATGCACATTATAATCACTGTCTGAGAATAATTTCTTGTTTCTGCAGGTATCGCGTTGCAACTATCAGATGATCCATCCTCTGAAACTGTATATAAGCGGGCACTGGTAAAATCATCAACTCATCAGCTGCACGCAATCTTCTCGAATCTTGGAATTCTTTATCGGCAGCATAGGAACTATGAATTTGCAAGGAAGATGTTATTAAGGTCGTTGGAACTGTGTCCTGGATATGCACCAGCCAGCAATAACCTGGGTCTTGTATTTGTCGCTGAGGGCCGTTGGGAGGATGCTAGAAGCTGTTTTGAGAAAGCTCTGCAATCTGATCCCCTACTTGATGCGGCCAAATCGAACTTGTCAAAAGTCCTTGCATTGTCTAAGATACAGTAGAACAAGACTACAGGAGAAGACCTAACTCCTAAGGAAATTTCCACTGGAGCCTCGGAGTTCAGACACGGAAGCTTGGTCATCAAATCTCTGTTCTGAAGTGTCTCAAGGGGCAATTCAAATTTGATGCTTGGTGCTTCTGTACTGCACTAGCTCACAGGTGTAGGAAGTTTCAGAAGTGCAGCTTGTAAGACGGCAGTTGGTTTTGACCGAGGGGCTGCCCTTGATTTTGAAGCTGAACAGGCTCCGAAGTAGCTGTGATGTGTTCTAAAGAGTCGCATCGGCGCAGGAAGGGCCCAGATTTTGAAGTTCATGTGTAGTTAAATTTCGATGTAAGCCTGTAACAAGCCTGCATGTGAACGGCTTCCCTTAGCTGATGTATATATAAAAATAAATAAATATACTCCAACTTGAGCATGTGCATGTTATAGGTTCAGTGTTCCATATAAAAAACAGTGTTTCAGAGAGCAACCTATGGTTCTGTGCATGAAACTAACTCCATCTAAACCTCAAATTTGGCAGCAATTCCACTTTGGAATTAAAAGGGCGTCCTACGAGTGTATAAAAATGGAGACGTTTAACGATTTATAATTTATTTTAAGAGATGACTTGGAAGTATAGCAACACCCATTAGAGTTTGAGGTTAGATCAAAATACAGTGAGAATTAAATCTAAAAGTTCCAATAAAAAATATAGCTCAAATATTTAGTAGCCAATAATTGTTCATTTCTCCTATATTTTATATGCTTGATTTTTTTGTTGTTCATGTAACATGTAATTTTATTATTGTTTGGCTATAAAAAAAAGTATGAATGATTTCTTGTGAGTTGTCCACTAGTTACTAGTTGTGCAAGATCATTGCTTCATAATTATTCATGGTTTTCTTTACTTTGTACCACCGCCAAATTGAAAAATCAATCTATCACATTGGAAGACCAGATTGTCATGAAAGTTTTGAGTCTTCAACATAAAAGTTCTAATAAGAATTAGTGTGTGTTCAGCGGCAGGTAACGAGTGAACACTTCAGCTTTTACATCTAGGATAGGAAGCGGGCTATTGGACTCCGCGGGCAGCAACCTCATAAACCATCAGCTGGGTCTGGGCGCCACCCGTTGAACGGCCGAGCTGCCGACGACGGCGAGTACCCGCCGGCGATTCCACCTCTCTCGCCACCTCCTCCCCTCGCGCGCGCGAGGGGCATCCCGGCGCCCGTTACCCTCCAGATCAGCTCCTGCGCACCGCCCTCCCCTTCCAGATCCTTCTAGGCCTCTCCAGATCCTCCGAGCGCGGGCGCGCGGGGCGGAGATCTCGCCGGAGAAATGGACAAGTCCAGCGCTCTCGAATACATCAACCAGATGTTCCCCACAGGTACGCACGCTCCCGCTCGAATCGAATTGGTGTTTCCTCGCTCGCACGGGGACTTTGCTCGTGATGCTGTGCTGCGGCAATGCGCTCGTTTCAGCTGTGCTGTTGTTCGGAGCTCCTAGGGTAACAATTTGTTTCTGGTTTTCCTGTGACCTGCAGAGGCGTCGTTGTCGGGCGTGGAGCCGCTGATGCAAAAGATACAGAGTGAGATTCGCCGTGTGGACGCTAGCATCCTCGCCGCTGTCCGACAGCAGGTTTGGCCTTGTTGTCCCACGTTATGTGTCATGCAGTGATGCTATTTGTAATGTGTGCACTCTTTGTTCTGGAACAGTTAAACTGAACTGACCAAACTGACGTGTCATAATTTGATCAGTGCTATGTCAATGCAATTTCACCTAATGAAATTATGCTTTTGCTCATTGTTATGCTACACTGGATAATGGGAAGAATGTTTTACTTAACAGAGCAACTCGGGAACCAAGGCCAAGGAAGAACTTGCTGCTGCAACAAATGCTGTTCAGGTCGGGTTTTTTTTTTTCACTTGTTATGTACTATTAAGATTTCTCACTATGAAGCTATTGTATCAGTTGATTAAGCATCGTGCCTGCTGCCTGGTCAGATAACTGGATTAGTAAAACAAACTGGTTTCTGCATTTGTTGCAGCAATTAATAGTGCTTAACAAGTGAAATAAAAACAAAGTTCTGATCAAATTTGGTACTAACAGGAATTAATGCACAAGATACATGAAATAAAAACAAAGGCTGAACAAAGTGAAACTATGGTTCAAGAAATCTGTCGCGACATCAAAAAGTTGGATTGTGCTAAGAGGCACATAACAACTACAATAACCGCTCTTCACCGTCTTGCTATGCTTGGTTAGTTTCCCTCCCTCCCTCTCTTTGTGTGTTGTGGAATAGCAAAGGACATCAACCTCATCTAAATCGTGTTAACTTATGTACAGTTTCGGCTGTTGAGCAACTTCAGGTTATGGCGTCAAAACGGCAGTATAAAGAAGCAGCTGCGCAGCTGGAGGTAAGAATGATTTAATTAGCTGATAAATCTGTAAAAGCTCTAGAATTAATTTCAATGTCTGAAATATTTTAATACTTGTAGCAATTGTTTTGCATGATTCTGCACATGATTTCCAACCAATTTCTAACTCTGTTCCAGGCAGTGAACCAACTATGCACTCATTTTGAAGCCTATAGAGATGTGCCCAAGATAACAGAGCTGAGAGAGAAATTCAAGAATATCAAGAAAATCCTCAAATCTCATGTATTTTCAGATTTTTCAAGGTACATAACAATTAGACTTATTCGTCATTGTGAAAAAGATACCAGGCTAGTACCTGTTAGTGGCACTACCAGTTTCTGGCTAGTTCCTGAACAGTAAACTAAGAAAATGACAATTTGAGTCCATGTGTCAGCTCAAAACAGGTGAGCCAGGAACAGTGTGTAATTGAAGTTCTAAAATCAATAACATCTTTCTGTTCGATCACACACGTAGTAATGATTGCACAACCTTTTCCGCTTGGCAGCAATCATCTGGTAACAGGCAGGGGACCATTTTCTTCTATATGGGCCTCATACACGGCCTGGTAGACCTGTTTTAAAAACAATGTAATATCTTGATAATGTAAAGAGGGATCCGGTCTTTTGTATCCTCTGAACAATGTAATATCTGTTCCCTAACTAGCTTGGTTTACAAAATACTGTTCCCCACTGGTAACAAATAGTTTGGGAACCCAGCCTCCTAGAGATGTTACTTGCCTGGTCAATTGTAAGACGTGTAACAGGTAGGGGACGCGTTTTCTATATGGGTCTCACACACAGCCTGGTGGACCTGTTTTTAAAAACAATGTAATATCTTGATAACGTAAAGAGGGATCTGGTCTTTTGCATCCTCTGAACAATGTAATATCTGTTCCCTAAATAGCTTGGTTTACAAAATACTGTTCCTCGCTGGTAAAGAACAGTTTGGGAATCCAGCCTCCCAGAGCATGTTGTGCGCCTGGTCAATTGTAAGACAATCAAGCAATTCAGTTTTTTATTTTTTCTCGAACACGCAAAAGATCAATTCAATGTTTTATTCAGTTGTCTGTTGTTATGCCTATTACTTCGTAGGGTGAAATAGACCGAGTAATTTATACTTTTTCAGCTTAGGAACTGGGAAGGAAACAGAAGATCCCATGCTATTACAGCAGCTATCTGATGCTTGCTTGGTGGTTGATGCATTGGAGCCATCTGTAAGGGAAGAACTAGTGAAGAACTTTTGCAGCAAGGAACTCACCTCATATAGGCAGATCTTTGAAGGAGCAGGTTTGACCTTGTATATGCTATATATATCAGTCTGGTTTGTAATTTTAGTATCAATTTACTTACTCCCCTAGTTCGCTGTTATTTTGATACTTCTTACAAAAATCAGAACTTGCCAAATTAGACAAGACCGAAAGAAGATATGCGTGGATTAAACGTCGACTAAGGTCAAATGAAGACACCTGGAAAATATTTCCACCTTCCTGGCATGTCGACTATCTGCTGTGTATCCAGTTCTGTAAGATTACAAGGTTTGATTTCTCCTTATCTAGTTTTGCAATTAATGGTCTTGCTCCAAACTAAGATTACATAGAACTTAAACAGCATTTTCAGTTTTTGCTTCTTGCTTGATGCATTTGGTACTTGTTTTGAATGATTTGGTCTACTTTAACTATCTCTTTGCCCTCTTAGCTGTAAATTTATCTGATAACATAATGGTCAATTCTTATCTTCCACCTTACCAGTCAATTTACCAGTGAAAATTCTTCTTTTCAGGGCCCAGCTTGTTGATATCCTTAATAATCTCAAAGAAAAACCAGATGTGGCAACTTTGTTGTTGGTAATTCCCCTTGTGATTTATCTTACAATGCTGTGCCACTGATTTATATTCTATAGCCTCCTTATTCGAGATGTTTCATGACCTACTTTCTGTTATGTCTTCTAGGTCTTTAGGTATTTTCTTTAGTATTCTTATTTTGCTTCAAGGCCCATTTCTTATCAGATCTTCCATTCCCTGAAAAGTAACAAATGATCAAGAAAACAAACAAAATTTACGTACTTCATGATGTTGTTGCATTACAATTATTGAAGCGATAGAGATATCTCTGAAATGTTTGGTTATTTGAGTTGAGCATGTGAGCTCATCCATTTGCCGTGTGGAACATCTGCAATGAACATTTTGAGATACTTGCAATGCAGGCGTTCCAGAGAACCCTTGAATTTGAGGAAGAATTGGCAGAGAAATTCAGTGGTGGAACTACGAATGCTAGAAATAAAGAGACAGCAAGTGATGACGAAGATGAGGGCGGGGAACACAATAAAATTGTTTCAGACATACGGAAGAAATATGAGAAGAAACTGGCAGGACCCAGTGATGAAGCTGAACAAGTATCTGGCATTTAATTTTAACCCCCTTTTTTTTCATTTTATTACATATTTTACAACTCTTCTAGCGTCTCCTTACTGGCAGGACAAAGATAAGCAGAAAGATTTGTCGGTTCCTGGTGCTGGGGTTAGTGTTATATCAGCTATTGTGCTGTGCATACTTACTAGTGTTTCCACAAGTTTCTGTGATGACCCATTCTGTATATTCATATCTATAC